AAAAAGAAATAGAGAGGTTCCTGAAGTGCATTCAGTGAGTTTTTCTTGGAGGGGGAGAGAATAATAGGAGGAATAAAGAAAAAGCGGTGGAGAGCCAGACAGACAGGGAGAAAGGGACTATACCCGAGTGGAGAGCAGAGGGAGGAATAAGAAGGAAGAGGGATTCTTGGACTGGAGGGAAGGAGAGAGAAACAGAAAGAGCAGGACACATAGATGGAGAACATTGGCCTGGGGCGCTGCTACGTGCTGAGCCTCCTTTCTCCCTTTCTCTTTTGGAGACTCAGAGAGAAAGTAGGGAAGAAACAGCAGAGGAAGAACAAAAACCTGCTTTCCATCTGTACCTATGGGAGCTCTGGAGCCGGCGGTGCCCCATATAGCCACACCGATCTGACCTCCACAGTGCTAGAGTGATGGCAAGTGTATTACCATGTTAGTGGCCCCGTGCCCCGTCATACCAGCTCCCTCACACACATAATAAACACACTCCATCACCCGTTCGGCCCAACCACACCGCCCAAAGTGAGCATATTAATTATAGATGTACGTTAAATTACTTTCATTACCTCTCCTGCTCGCTGGACGGGAGAGAGGCTGGGATGATGGATGGAGAGGCAGTTGCTATACCTCCCCAAGTACACCCTGTTTTTGATTTTCTCTAACACTTTTCTTCACCTATTCTTCTTGACTTTACATCAGTTTATCCACATTTTGTGGTTCTCTGTCCCTGTTAGTATCTTCTTGCCAATGCAAACATTTTCCCCTCACATAATCCGGGCATAAACCTTAAATGCTAGTAGACAGTGGGAAGAAAGTGGGCAAAAGGTGGGGCTGCTCAAGTGTCAAGCTGTAAAATATGAAAGCAGAGGTACTTAAATGTAGATCGAATGGAAAAAAAACTTTCTAAGTTACTGTAGGCTACAATTAAACAAATGAAACAGCAGTTAAGATGTGGATTATGTTGCAGAGGGTGTTAAATAAGATGAACTACCAACTAACTTTAATAAGAATGAGAAGAGACAAAACAGATACCAGATTGTACAACCTATCAGTTTCAGTTATGATTAAGTATCCGCATAGCTTTTGATACTTTTAGATTATTTTAATGTTGCTACTCAAATACAGAAATGATTCAGGATCACAATTCAACTTTTGTACAGTAGCCCCCGACCACGATATTACAGCAGTATATCAACATTTCAGGAATAACATGTTTCTTTATGAAACTACATAAAATTAGAAGATCAATTCTATTTGCAAATCTGTCACATGAACTTGAAGCTACTGCCAATAGGAGAATAGTCAGAATTAGGACCGCTGGACCGCTTAGAACAGTGGGAAAAACAACCCTAATAATCTCCAGATTCAAACTTCAAACACCTCTTAGGCTAACAAATGAACACAATAAATGCACCATACAGGGACTGGTCGGGGAATTTATGTTACAAGGTCAGTGTTCCCAGGCTTCATTTTAGGCTATAACTTATATGTACAATACTTTTCTAGTCTACGCAAAGCGCTTTTACACAGCAGGTCACACCTAAGCATTCCATCCCATTCATACAATGATGACAGAGGCTGCTATGTAATGTGACCATCAGAGTAACTAATCCCATTCATACGCCACCAAGGAAGCAGCGGGAGCAACTTGGGGTTAAGTGTCTTGCTAAAGGACACGTCGGACATGTGCCTGCAGGTGCTGTGGATCGAACCCCGGGTTGAAATTTGAACGACTCAACCAACTGAGCCACAGCCTCAACTGTTTATATCTCCATATGTCCTTTCAGCTATCTGTATATGTAACAGTCTTTCTTTTGATCCCGTTTCCAGCCCATCCATTAGCTGCAGACGGCAGTTCACCAATGAGTCTCCACAAGGTTATTGCCTCTAAAAGATTGTTACTTCCCACTGTTGCCAAGTGCTTGCTCATTGGCGGATAAATGCTTGGTAAAAAAAAAAAAAACAATACTACCAAGACTTCTTTCTAAACCTGCTCTTAAAGTAACGAGCGATAAGATACAGTAATTATTCTGTCCATTTGACACTAAATAATGAAACATTTAGAGATTGATCAGAATACTTACACTCTCATGTTGTTTTGATCAATTTGAAGTTGAGCCAGCAGCAGAGCAGTAAGCTTTAAGACCGGAAACATAGCCTCTAAAGTGAATAACATTTACACTTAAAACATCTCCAAAGCTTAAAACAACACATGAACTAAAGATTATGGTAGATACATTTTGTTACCTTTTGACAGAGTCAGTCTAGCTGTTTCCCTGTTTCCTGTTTTTCGATGCTAAGTCAATACTTGCTTACATGTACAGACTGATTGACTTCAGAGAAAAGGAAACTACATAACCAATGTGTCCCTATCCTTCTTCCTACATCTCCCTCTATCCCATCTTTCAAACCCGGGGCAGCTTCGGCAGATGGCTGTTCATCATGAACCTGCTTTCTGCCTCTTAAAAGGAAGTATTTTCTTGCCACTCAATGTCGCTTAGTGCTGTGCTCATGATGGATTACCGCTGGTTCATTGTAATATAACGAAGAGTAAGGTCTCTTACCTGCTTTTAAGTTGTCCTGAGATGACTTTAGTAATAAATGGGCACTATACAAATAACGATTGATTGATTTGAATGACTTAATTCCAAATAAAAAATAAAAAAGATTCTTGACATTTGCAGTTGTTCTTTATATTCAAAGTAAAGTTCAGAAGTCTTTGGTGTGAATCAAAATGATCAGTTGGGGAAAATGTCAGCATCCTCATAACCCTAACCCATCCTCATAGAACCATACTGTGACATTTCAGATTGAGCTTGATGAAACCTACTATGTAAGCCCTTTTTGATGAACTTCCACTCAGATGTTAATTCTGACACTCTAAAGGGAATCATGATACCTGATGCAATATCACCAATGTAGAAATTGCACATCTCTATTGTTCTATGGCATTATCCTTCAGCGTACTCCCTGAGCAAATAACAAAGCATCAAATCTCTGCTTTAAACCTAAAGGCCACATAGGATGCTCATTGTGTGTGTATGTGTATGTTCAGTTGCCCTTGCTTCACTGTGTTCAGTAAGTTTGATCTCACTCGGGCGGAGGAAGCCTTACATTGGTATAGCAGGTGCATGCTTGTTCAACACCCTGGACCAATCTAATCTCTGCTGCTCTGAAACATCCCATTCAATTTCTTCTGTTGATAGATGCCAGTGCTCTTTGAGCCTCTGGGAGCACACCCCACCCCCATGCTCGTCTCCGGCTTTTTGCTTCTGTAGACCACTCAAGATTCATCAGGTCACCCCGCCTATTGTAAACAAGCAGGATCCGATTCGTTTAATCCAAAAGGTCAGGAGAAGGCCTGATAATCAACATCCAGACACCATAGTTTCTCCTTCACTCACTCACTAAATGCTGATCAATTCAAATGTTAGAGAAATGTTGTCATGAAGAGTGAGAGCCAATTACAATCAAACACTCCTGAGCCTCCTCCAACTTTAACAAGAAGTGACAGGTAACTGAGAGCTGTTGATTAGAAGCAGCACACGGTGATATATTTTACTTCTGCTCCTTATTAAAAGACGAGCATGAAACTGGATCACAGATTCTCTCCACGTTGATGAACTGTTTTTATTCATTTAAAGAGTGCAACTCTGTGAGTTTTAAGCTTTTTTTCTAAGACTAAAAGTTCTGCAGCAAGTTAACGTCCTGCTGAGGTGTTTTTAGAAAAGCACTGAAAGACAAAGGAACAGATCTGAACACCAAAGGGAAGGAGATTTACACTTTGATGATCAAATTGATGTAAGAGGAGAAAAAAAATGTGAGACAGCAGAATCCAAAAATGTTGAAGTATCTTAATCTATCAGTCATTCCATTTTTATTTTTTTAAGTGACAAATCATTTTTTAAAGTTATATATTATTATTTATAGAGCCCCAACAGGGAAAAGGAATAACTTTCTTTTAACAGGCAGAAACCTCAAGAAGGACCAGACTTACTGGTGAATTGCCATCTGCTGAGATTAAATTACAACACAACATCCTCTGCAGTATTTTTCAACTCGTGCATCTACCTTCAAGACCCTCTGGAGAGAGTTCTCTTTTTTCACCACTGAGGGCGGAGGACATGATGCTCAGGGGGAACACACATTGATGGGAGGGAGAAGGGTCAGCAGGCGAGAGGGGAACAGGAGGTGAGAGGAAATATAATAATGATAAACAGATCTAAGGCCACAACGCCTTCTCTCTGGGGTACCTTTCCACCTTGTCATGTCCAGAGACCTTGTATAATACTCGGCAAAGACAGGGGGCACGTAAAGAATGTGTGTGTATGTGCCTTTGCACGTGCATATCTAATTTATTGGCCCACCAATTCGCTGATGTGTGCGAGGCTTCATGCAGCTCAGGGCACCAGGCTGGAACATCCGGGCCTTGCTTCATTAGGTGCTCACGCCCTTAAGCTGCTGACATTTTCAAACTTGTTCCCCTGTCTTCTAATTGTGGTGAAAAATTGGACACAGCCACCGACATTAAGAAGCTACATAGATCCCGATTTCACATTTTCTCTTGTCTGTCATCTACCTCTACTCGCTGCTTGAATGTGGAATGCAAGAGACTTGCTTTTTGTCTGTTGTGAAGAAAGCAATGTGTGATGATGGAAGTGAGACAAGAGATGTTTAAAAGAAGAAAAAAGAAGATCCAACAGAAACATTTGGAAATAGAACATGAACATCTAACAATGACAGTTTGATTGATAATTATATATAATAATTATAAAACACAAAAATCTGCAGAGTAATTTTATTATGGTTAACAACAGTGAGTGTCCAGAGAATCAGTGGTGTACTGTAAATCAAATATAGGAAGTCATTTTAAGATGTTGTAGTACAGCTTTAACAAGTCGACTGAAGGGGCGCTGGTAGCCTAGTGGTTAGTGTGCGCCCCATGTATGGAGGCTGAAGTCCTCCAAGCAGGCGGCCCGGGTAAGGGTTAAAATCCAACCTGTGTCTCCTTTCCTGCATGTCTGTCCCCACTCTGACTCTATCCACTGTTCTTATTCTACATAAAGGCATAAAAAGACCAACAAAAAATAGACTGAAGTCAACTGAAGCTTTCATAAAAATTCTAAAATTTTAAAATACATAAGCTGCTATCCCCTTTAAAAAAAAATAGCTTTTGGTATTTATTTGGAATACACATTCTGTTTTTGTTGTTCACAAACACATTCACTCAGGGGCTTTAAAACACAGCATTACATCAGTTTACAGTGCATGCAGATTCATTCTTGCCAAAATAAAGAATGTCACTGCTACAAGTCAGTATAATATTATTACATCACCGTGGAACAACGTTAACTCACATCACTTCAAATTAAATAAACACTAACACAAAAGTTAAAAGACAGTATTATAAGCTGTTAATAATTAGTCAATGTCACCATTACAGTGTTTGTTAACAATGCTTTTTTTAAAAACTCAAGAGGAGGTAAACATCCAGGTAAACATCCTGTGGTACTAACATGTCTTTGCTAGCATCCATACAGTATTTGATGTGTAACACAGTTTCACAGGAATAATATAAACACTGAACTGCTCAAGAAAAACTAATATTGTCATAGTAAGATTAGTTTACTTTAAAATAAACGGTTAGGAATCTTTAAAACAGAAAGAGACATTTAGAGAACACATTCACAAAAACATTCACTCTCATACATGGAGGTCTCTCAGTAGTCTCACTTCATATTCAAGATCTCCAGATATGAAGTCTACAAAGATTTCCTGAGAATGTTTTATAAGACACAGCACTGAGTGAATATGTATGACTGCGGTGATCCTCTGACCAACATACTGTTGACATTAAAGGTTTGAAGAGGATCATCCCAACACCTTTTGGTTGGAAATGAATACTTTCGTAAAACGTTTGGGTGACTCCCTGAGAAAACTTAGAATTTCACTGTTTGTCCATGCTTCATTTCTGAAAATATTCTAAAGATAGCTGTTGATGCTGCTTTGAGTACCATGTCCAATCATATGAACTACATTTATGCCAAAACCAGTCCATTTTGTCACTGTAGATTTCTCTTGTGCTGTGAGAGTACCCACTATGGTCCAATAAACACCAATAATAATAAGCAATAACCACTCATCCTCCCTGAAGTGATAAAAATAACTGTAAAAATAACTGTTCTCACAACTGTAAAAAAATTCCTCCAGTCCGAGACACGCCTCCTGTTCTTAACAGAATTAATAGTAAGAACTTAGGTGTGTCTCAATCTTTCATCAAGTACCATGCTCAGGTGGGTCTACAAATTTGCAACACTTACAACATTCCCACCAGCCTCAGCTGCTCTTGGCATTTACTGCTAATAAGCTAACATTAGCATGCTAAAATACTACCTTAAGATGGTCAATGTCGTCAGCATTGAAGCATGCTGATTAGTGTTTGGCTTTTGTTTGAGAGACTAAAAGAATAAGTGCAAAATCAAGAAATGTAAAAGAAAAACATTGAAATGATGTATAATGTTTTTTTACACGTGGTGGAATGGTTAATATTTTTGTTAAAGGTTAAGTCAAAACTGAAACGCTACAACTAAATAAGTCATGATGTAAACAAAACTAACTAAAGATGAAAATATATGACAAAGATAACCAGAAACAATACCATGTCTCCTTCATGTGTTCTACAATGTTGACCACTGTCAGTAGTTTGACTGGCACTGTTTTCAGGCCCTCTTCAGCTATAATGATTTCATGGTGTTTGACCAGCGAATTCAACTGAATCCACATTAATTTGGTGTTTCTGCTCTCTCAGATCTGGTATCTCTCAGGACTCCATTCTTCTCTTGAGCCTCAGGCTCAGTGTGTCCCATGGCTGCCTCAGGGGTCTGTTTCATCTCCACCTCTGAGGCTCTTACCTGGTTCTGCTTCTCTTTTTCCAGCATGTGGTAGTTGTAGATGTTCATGACAAAGAGAAAAATGCCGCCAGTCAAGATTACCGAGCCACACATGAAGAAAAGGTACCTGTAGTCGCCGTAGATGTCCACCAGTAACCCTGAGTGCAGAAAAGTAGAAGAGAAATCATGACATTACAAAAAGTGAATGCTTGCTCAAGCCCACTTTGTCTTTAAAATAATAACACAATTAAGATTTTTAATTCAATGACATATTGTGACATAAGTGTATCACTAATCAAGTCTGAAGTAAAAGAGTAAGTCCAAACTCAGACTTGGCTTTGTGATTGTGTGAGTGTGTGTTGTGTTTGTGTGCAAGAGAGTAAAGGTAGCACAGGCCAATCTGAGCAGAGTCATGTCTGAAATGGCAGAGAGCTAATTCATCTGTCCTGGCTCTCCCAGCATCTCAGGGAGGCAATTTGGAGGGCTGCTACCAAAACGAATCCAAAAAGGGGCTCATTCTCAGAGCCATAAATACCGAGCCCAATTCCACAGAAAAAGTGACAAATGTAGTTTAGATCAGATTTAGGCCTTCAGGTTTTTCAGAGACTTTACTGCGACTGAAACCCCCTCCTGCCTACGGACACAGATCAATGGTCCAGTGTTGCAATCTCTCTCACTCTCTTCATGGATGACGGTCTCTCTGTTAAACTCACCATATTATAATCTCCCATGCAACTATTTTACAGCCTGACTGACCTATATAAGAATTATTAATATCTGCATCATTTTCAGAATCAGCGGCTATGTCTCAGAGGTCATCTCACAATCGGAGGGTCAGGGGTTCGATCCCCATCTCCAGCAACTACATGGCTGATGTGTCCTTGGGCAAGACACCGTTGGTGAGCGGTCGCCGCCCTAGTTTTAGCTCAAACTCTTACCGTTATTATGGCATGCCTAATAACGGTAGTGTTTTTTTCCTGACACCCTGGGAAATGTTAGATTTAATCCATTTTAGCCACTCCCTCTCTTTCATAGAACATGCATCTATTTTTAAATCTTTTAATTTATCATTGTTTTTTTGAAACCATAGACACTGGAATTCAACTTGCAGCTGCTCTCAAAAGACTTGAGACTTGACTTACTTTGACTTGCAAAAAATTTATTATGCCCATCTCTGCTGGTGGGCCCAAATAAGACAGTTTTTTTTGCCTGGAAAGTTATATTATTTAATCAAAATCTTTGAATTAAGGGTCACTTTCTTTTTCACTTAACTATTTTTAATAAATAATTACCATTTTTAGTACAAATAATTGAAATGGTCAATGGACTGTACTATTAAAGCCTATTTTCCAGTCTTCTGATCACTCAAAGGGCTTTCGACTTACTCTAACACTGAAATAATATTTGTTTGTTTGTGTGTATTTAATGTATTTCACTATGAGGTCACTTTGTATCAGACCATATCATTGCAGGCTGTACCATTTGATTGATAGCAGTCATCTTGTGCATGTATTCCAACGCCCATCACCCTCATTAAGACAGTCCTTGATTGGCTGGGTGGTAATTAATTCCATCTGGCACGGTCAACTCCTTTTTAATGTATTCACAGCTTAATTATGGCCCAGGTACAGGACTTCAATGACAAGAATTTGCACTGAGCGTCATTAAACACCCAAAGCAAAAGGCTAATTACACCCACTAACCTCACTTCCTCCTAATTGGGTTGACCTGGAGGTTTGGAGGAGCAGTAACAAGCACACTAGTTAGAGGAGAAATAACAATTGTGCCCTCTGGAGGAGAATTTTAGATGTGCAGGGAGGCACTCATACTTATTTACCCCATTAAATGAGCCCCTCAGAACAGGGTCACACCAGCAAAACTGTGGGGGGCAATACATATTCAGCTCATTAAAACTCAGGTTGGAGGCAAATGAAAAGTTTGTAAGTAAGCTGATAAGAAGATGCTAAAGTCATGTGAAGATACAATTCCGATCTTTTTTAGTCACCTTTAAGAAGACCCAGCTGCTCTTGTTGGCATTCAGCTGAAGTTGAGCTTGACTCTTACCATTTATATTATATTGTCCAGCAATTCCTTAGAACTACTTTATGTTTTTTTTTTTGTCTCTGCTCATGTTTTTTGTTTAATAAATCTGACTTGATTCACTGATCTAGTTCAGTTACCAATCTGAACGTTAAAGATCTGAGGGAATCGGTCCATGTTGCCCTAGATTGGTAAAAACATTCTATGAATGGGTTTATGGCCTAATTGTAATATTATAAACTGGATTGCTTTGTTGCTTAGTTCTCATAGCTTGTTCGTCATATGAACAAGCCTCTTCAATCTTATGAGACTCTTGCTTGGGTTGCTTTTCAGTTGGCGTAAGCTAGCTCATAAGGAGAGTCCATTTCACATGTATAAGGTAAACACTAAACCATTATGCACAGTAGCACAAGAAGAACTAATAATGTCATGGTTTTATAAAGTAAACTCCCCTTCAGTCAGTGGCAATTCTAGAGCCTGTTGGGGCCCTAGGCAAAAACAAGTGGGGGGCCCTCAAACCTGCGTTCCTAACTTTTATTTCTGCCAGTGTCCTGTCACTTTTTCCTGTTTCTTTTTTCATAGACATATAATTACTCTTCACTTTTCTTGTTTGATTCTCATTGACAAACTTTGGTCTTTACAGCAATAACACATAACGCTTTTAGCAGGGCAACGAAAGTGAGTGCTGTCAGATGGGGCCCACTTTGGGAGGTTTTCTACTGTCATTGCAAAATTTGCACATTTTGGGGCACTGCTTTGTTTTAAAGTTTGTCAGCTCTTAGGGTCCCCCCTGCTGATCTGGGGCCCCAAGCAGTTGCCTGCCTTGCCTGTGGACAAATAGCGCCTGTGCCTACAGTACAGTTAGCCTATCTGGATCAAATTGTCATGAAAAAGATGTTGCGACATTTTTCCTGTAATTTTAAGTATACGTAAAATGCAAAAAAAAGTCACAGAACTTGTACAGAGTTGAGGGAGGCGGGATAGAAAAAAATGGCACTATTTGTGAGAAACCATGCAGGTTCATCATAGTTTATAAACTAGACTAGTGAGGATACAGAATGGGGTTTCTTTATTTTTAGAAGGAATGAGCTTTGAAAATGAGTTCTCCACTCTGAACTGTTTTTTTCATACACACAAAGCATGGCCTCAGTTCAAAGTGCTTTTGTTCTTTGTTGCAAGTTGTGACAGAAAGACAGTTTTCCTGAGGCTTCTTTTTTAGAGACTGTTACTATCATCATGTGATGTGTTCATATTTGTGATGGAAACAGGAGAAAAATGTCATGCTATAGTTAGTTATTTTACATACCCAATGAACTTAAAATGACCCTGACAGCAGAGAGAATAAAGATGGATATGGTTGTACTTATTTCAACCATGAAGTAACCTGTCCAACACTTTAACAAGCTTTAGGCTTCTTTGTTCATAAAGTAGCATTCAGGTATGTGTCGAGAAAAGAGTGACTGGAAGGAAAACGGGTCACTGGGTTAACTTGGAGCAGATTTAATGAGTGTTTCTGAGGGGACTCAGGGCTGTTTTTACTCATGTATTTTTGTTCATAAAGTAAAGTAATTTAGTTATTACGGCCTTAGTGTTCTGTCTAAACATAAAAAGGTGGAGCTAAGGAGGCAGTGATCCAGTGAACATTTTGTTCTTAAGAGTACAAGGCCACTTTGGTGTGATAATTTATGTGTCTCTTACATGAGACAATGTTTTGTCTAACAAATGGAAAAAAATCTCTTTGGATCCTTCCCCCCTCCTCCCTCTAACCCCTTTTGGTTGACGCATGCAGCTCTGCGACTCTTTATGTGGTACTGCATAGAAGACCCATCGTCTAAGCTTTATGTTTCTGAGTGTTTATCACTTTGTTTGAGACCAAAGCCTATAATAAACATGGCATTCAAGACTTAGCAATGAGTAGGCACATTTTCTTTGCAGCTGTAAATACCCATGACCAATTACTTCTTTTTTGTGGACCACTCATGCACCCCTCAAAAAAAGAGGAAAAAAAAGAAAACTCTATTCAACCATGATAATCCTGCTCTGTGACACAGTAATGACATCCTAGCAGGCAACTGTGCTTTGCTGCAACATAAAGCACAGCTCAAGAGTAAGACAGAGATAAACAAACTGAATGAGAGAGAGAAATCATTGCTTGTCGTACTTTAGTTTGCTGAATTGTTTGCACAAGAGCTTGTTTCAAAGAGCCTATTTATCTCTGTTACAATGGAGTTTTGTCATCAAATACTGGTACACTATTCACTTTTGTTTGTCTCTTCAGCTGCAGAAGAGCATCAAGGCAATCCATGCCAGCTGAAAGTTAATAATTGTGTCTGTACCCGGCATTAGCTTAATCCATCAATATACACATCTAAAAGATTTCTGCTGATTCTTACTGATCTCTCGTGTCTGTAAATGTAAAGTTTGGTGTGAGTGTGCAAAGTTACCTGCTGCAGGTGGTCCCAGTAGCATTGGGAAGCACTCGATGATGGTGACCAGTCCGACAGCACGAGGGAAGCGTTGACTCCCCATCAGGTCCATCAGACATTCAAATATCAGGGCAAAAACCATTCCGAAACCAATGCCAAAAAACACAGCATAGACCACCAGGAATGCGTAGTTCTCGATCAGAGGGCACAGTAAGTGGCATGTGCCGTTGAATACCATGGCAAAGCTGAAGAAGTACTGGATTCTGGGCCGGATCCACTTGCTGTTGGCTATCAAGCCTGTTCCAGGCCGTACAAACATGTCCACAAAACCCATAATAGAGAGTAGATAAGCTGCAGAGTACTCTTCTACACCTTTACTTATAGCGAAGGCAGTCAGGAACACGATGGGCGCATAGGCACCAAAGATAAACATGATGTTCCCAATGAGGTAAATGACGAAGCCTCTATCTTTGAAGAAGGACAAATCCAAGAACGTCTTAGCACTCTTCATACAGCTTCTCTTCAGCCTGGTCTTTCCATTATTTCGTTGTTCCTCCACTGTCTTCTCTAGTGCACATGAAGAGAGCGTGTGTGGCGGAGTAACAGGCCTCATCAGGGCCCCAGCTGCACAACAATGAAGCATCAGAGCCCCGAGGATAAGGAGACTTCCCCTCCAGCCAAAATTGTCCAGTAAATATTGGTTAAAAGGAGCCAGGATACATAGAAACACTGGACTCCCGGCCATGGCTAGTCCGTTGGCTAGAGGACGCTTAGTCAGGAAATACTTGCTGATGATGATAAGAGATGCATTCAGGTTTAATGAGAGTCCACAACCTGTGTGAAGATAGAGAGAAAAAGTTGCTTTTCAAAATAAGTATCCTGGACTCCCTAAACTCCAAAGGGTGCTTGTTTAATTACATCAGAACTCATTCAGTCTGGGGCTCATTAAGGTTTCATCTCATTTCACTTAAGCTGGGCAAAATCTCATTACAGAATGCTGGAATTATTTCAGATATAATTTCTCAATTTAAGTAGAAGCAAATTGGAGAAGCTGAGTAATACATTCACTTGCTTGCATTTTTGCCACCTTATTCTCTATCAAGTTGAAGCGCTATAGACAGACTGGTTAGAGTGCTATATTCTGTCTGCCAATGTCAGTTTTATCTCTTTCTCTGGTTCAACCATGAAACTCGGGAGAAAGGCGTTTCTGTGAATATATCATTGTTGGTCCATCCAGAGGATAACCATCAGATTATTCACAGATTCACAGCAACTCTTTAAAAAAATAAAAATGTTCTCTAAACACAAACAATTAAACACAAATATGAACTGATGCTTGACGATACAACACATCTCACACCGTCGCTTGGCTTTTCAGTTTCACTTGTTAGATCTGGAAAAGACATGATCCATTGTCAGATTCCTACCAGAGCACAACAAACCATAGGTTGTTGACTACAGGTATCTCTGGTAAGAAAAACATATATATTTTTAAATGCCTAAATCTAAATGACTAGATGATAAATTATATCTAGGTCAAGATGAAGTGCATTACACAGCACCCTATAAAAAGTGTATTATGAATTATTTAGAACTTTTGTCCTTGTCCTACATTTTCAAAAATATGAATCTTCCGAGTTCTTTTAAATGCAACCTTGAATCCATGACCGTTTTTTCTTTCAAATGATGATAACTTTGATCTAGATGTTCACAGATTAGCATTTAGTGTCTAATAAAAATGGCTCACCCTCTTTAAAAGGTGCAAAGGGACAAAGAAAAAGGCAATTAACTTCATTTTAAAATCAAGGTTATGGATGAAAGCGAAAGGAACGACACCTTCTGAATCCTGGGTGTTTTCACTTATTTTTTAGCCCTTATGTGTGTATTTGTGCATAAACGTGTGTAAGCATATGTCTGCATGTCTGCGAGGTGAAACGGCCTGATGCCTATGTGTCACTGTGCTGGGGCACAGGGGAGCAGAGCAGGGCACACACATGCCCCTGGGCACCACACATGGCCCAGCCACTTGCTGGGCCTATTAATCCTTCACAACAGTCGTTGTCAGGGTAATGAGCCTCACAAGGTGGCAGGGAGCCCCCATGTGACGACCATGATGGGAGCCTACGGGAGAGTAAAGAGGGCCGCGAAAGACCATGCTCTATGGGATCAGGGATGGTTCTGTCTTAATTACTGTCCTGGCGCCGTTCCCTTTGGTGCACTTACTGCCTTCCAGGAGCGGAGGTGGACGCCCAGGGCTCAGGCAAATGGCACAGCAGCACAGTCAAGGGAAGCAGATCTGGCAACCCTGAGATACTGAAAGGAAGTGAAAAGATGCAGACTTTTCCCAATCTCAGAGGGACTTTACAAGGGCTGATGGGAACGGTAAGAAGGGGAAAATGTCTTGGATCCATATAACTAAATTAGTTTGCTCTTTTGCAAGATTGCAAAAACATCCATACTGCATCTCTGGGGTCTTTGGGCTGTGATCAACTAGCCAGTATGCTCTTAACTAAAGTTTCAAACCTGGCTTAACCTTTAAAGCAGCAGTGTCAATATTGTAGAAGAAAAATATTAGATGGGAAAAATATCCAAGTTTACTGTACCTCCAATGACACCAATGCAAAAGTAGAGGTAAATGATGGAGGTCCCCAAAGAAGCGGTTACCATAGAGACCCCACACATCAGTCCACCCACTATGACAACTGGCCGGCTTCCAAAGCGATTGACCATGGCGCTGCTCACTGGTCCTGAAAAAGGAAGAAAGCTCAGAATTAGCATGTTTTTCATGTCAATGTGAACACTGGGTCTTTAGTGAGTAATAATCCAAACTACTACTAGTTGGTGAACAAATGTTGACACAACAGTAGCAGTTTTCACTCTTATTCGAACCCAAGGGCATAAGGACATCAGAGCAGGTGATGGAACACCTCCACACTTTTGTATCCACTGCGAAGCGTCTTGGTGACTCATTACGCTCTCCCCTGATAATGTCAAATACTAAACTCAGTGATCAATCAGCAATTAAACAGCTTTTTATATGCTGTCACTCTTCCCCTCGTTCATAACCTTGCCTGAAAGAGTGACATTGCACTAACAGTCTTTGCTGAGCACGCCTTAATGAAAACTTCTTTATTTTCCTACCTATTAAGACCATTCATTTGAATATATATTAATTTGAGTCGATTCATATAGAAAACTGGGAAAGGCATCAATCAAACGAACACATGGGCTGCCATCATTATTGAAAAATGTTGCAACTTTTGATGAATTGAAGAGAAGGGCCTCTTGTGGATGGTGATGACTGAAAAGAGCCCAGTGAGCGGTAAGAGGAAAACATGTTGGCAAACACCTACTATCTTTGATAGCATGTTTCCCATAGCTTATGATTAAGTTCTCAGTGATTGAGGGGGAGAAAAAAAAACACAGGCAAAGAATTGTGCTTGTTGTTATGACTCATAAGAATTCAAAGACCAAAGCCCCAAATACTTTTTTAATTATCATAGCCATTGTAACACATTATGTTACATAACATTAATGGTGAGCACAGCATTAGAATTCTCCCAACTGTTGGTACTTGGTGCAAAGGGCACATTTTGGATTATACTACAGAACTACTACAGTTTGATAAACACTCCAAGATGTAATAATAATAATGTCTGCACCTTTAGAGGATTTTTCATCAAGACAGCAAACAGCTGTTCAGACCACATCAATCATAGTGTTGACCACCAACTCCTTGGTCTCCATATTCCATAATAAACAGAGTACATTAACTTTGTTTTTCTCCAATACTGCTTAAAATCTAGTTTGGGTTGGTGGACAGTACACCCCTAAAAACAAACAACAACAGTGCTGTCTTAACCAGGAATTCTGAACACATTTTAAACTATCAATAAATGCACTATACATACACACACACACATATACATATATATACACACATACATACATATATATATATATATATATATATACATATACATATATATATATATATATATATGTGTGTACACAATACGTTTCAGTTTACAGTAGAGGTGTAAGAGGAAAACCTCTTTTTTGTAGCTTATATACACCTGACAAGTCTGACTAGTCCATTATGAATGAATGAATGAATGAATGATTTGTTTATTTAGAACCAAAAGAGATAGATAAAGAAAAAAAGAAAAAGACAAAAGTAACCGTGTCCGAAAAGGAGTAGGAAGAAGTAAAAACTTATATATCCCCACCCCTATGTTTCATTTCTTCTATTAGTTGATAAATTATCCAACAAATGTTCACAATTATTTACAACAAAAATACAAACGTATCCCCAGTTAGTCCTAATGTCCACCCAGTGTTACACAATATAAAGCAATACCCCTAAAACAACTGTTCCTCTTCCATGAAGCTGTCCAAAATATATTTTTTGTGTAGTTTTTTTTTAATTGAATAATATTTTCGCTCTGTTTCAGCTCCTCACCCAACCCATTCCACACTAACTAGGAGCTGTCGCTGTAAGGGAGTCACTTAATAAGCTAATGTCAAATCACTTGTAACAAAACTGAGCTAAAATGTTCTTTTTTATACTACAGTCTAATGCTGAGATCCAAAAGACGTTTTATTGATCGATTACATGTTTCTGTGTATAAAACTCAATCAAAGTAAAGTCATAATGAAATCATAATAAATTCTCCATAATTATTGATTCTCTCTTGTTTCAAACTGAGCATTAAAGTAGTTGTCCTCAAAAGCTGCACTGATGTAACTACACTACATGTAATAAAAAACATCCTTCCTACTATTTATACAGTTAACCAGGAGCCTGCGTGGGTCAAACATAGATTATATTTGTCACTGTAGCTGTGTCACAATAGGGCATCCCCCCCTATACTTCCACCATTTCTACTTCCATTATAACTTTATCATTCAGGCTCCTCAAGTCAGAGGTTCCCTGAAAAGGCTGTCATGTCTCTCCCATGGGAACCCGGTGTCAGACCCAAGTGTGCTGAACCCTCTTCTGATATATTCCCCGTCTCTCTCCTAACCTGGGTGACATTGCCGAAGCCTTGCCAAGGACAATATGATAGAGTCTTGTGCCTGAGCAACAGTGGAGGGGAATAATTCACTAGTTAGGCCTCTCTGAGTTGCAGGTGAGTCACACACCCCGGTGTAACATAACCTTGAAAACATGTACTCATAAACTCACGCTAAGCTTCTACAGCACTTCCATTTTTGGCATCATGAATGAGTTTTCCAATGTACTCTAAAAACTTTTGGAGTTTAACAAGAACTGGGAATGTATTCCAGGTTTCTGGATTGTTTTGCATGTTTTGAAAGAAGGGATGTAGCATGTGCATAATCATTGAAAATTCACTATCTACCCATGCTGAATCATGTTTGAAACAAAGACCATGTTTAGATTTGGTATCAAGATCCATTTTCACAGAGGACAAGCACATAAATGCTAATCTTTGTGTCACGCTCGACTCGTGAGTCAATGAACTCTGTGTTCAGTATTTCCATGCACACTGCACATAAAACGCTCATAAACGACACAAACCTGAGTTGTGACCCACAAGCGGTTTGTTGGAGTTTCTAATAAAGCAGTGGAGTTGAGAAAAGGTGTTTCCTGTTTAGGAGAAGAGACGAGTCGATATAATGGCCATCTGTTTGAGTCATGCTCTGTCTGTTACTGCATTAACGGCTCAATCTGTCCTGTATTTCTGTGGATAAGCTGACATAACGCATGATCAAAGTCTACATGCTGCGATTAATGCGATCAGGAGATGTGACCATGAGAGGTTTATTAGAGTTTGTAAACACGGAGTGGAACAATATGGCTCATAATGTAGATCTGTGTTTATTCTGTAAACAGACTGCAATTCAGTTCTGTTAATTCAGTGTTAAACACAGAACTGGAGAGGAAAATCAGGGGTCATGATCAAACACAGTTTTATGTGACCTTATCACTTCAGTCTGTAATAACCCATTACTTTGTACCACTTGTACAGAGGAGTGGGTCTCACCCCTTTCTATGCTGCGTGTATGTTTTGTCCCTTTACGTTTTTAAGGGCTAATGGAGGTGAATGAGGCTCTGTATGAATTTGCATAAGAAGCAGGAAAGAGAGACACATTTGGAGAGCATGATCAGGTCAGGTGTGTACACTCACACACAGTGTTGTCCACTTGTGATCTGATGAGCCAGACCACATCGCTAGCACTAGGTGTAAATTGCTCCACTGTCGATGGTTAATATAGACCAATGAGTAGCAAGATGTGATGTGGATTAATGGTGTATTCATGTCGGAAAAGAATTAGAAGCCCGACTTGACGTCAGAATCGTCATCACATGAGGGGGCAGAATATGTTTTGTTAATGTGAACATACTTTTTATGAATTCACGTATTGCACATCAACTTTTTGCTCAAATGTATCTTGTAACAGTTTCAGTCCACAAATCCTCTTCGTAGCATCAAACCTCTTTTGTGCTCTTGTTACAACATTCCGACTTTCCGAACTGAAATCATGTGAACCCACTGAACGACTTCCCAACTCGAAAACTTGGACCAACCGAGCAACACATGAATGCAGCATAAGCATAGAGCCTTGACATTTTTTCCCCAGGGGCTGATCGGTCAGCCAGTCATTACGAAAGTACAAGCTGGAGGAAACACAAACGAAGATGAGACACTGACAGGTGCTGAAACCACAAAGGACTGCAGAGCCAGCTATAAATGATTTGAAGAAACGTGCCATTCAGATTACAGAGTTGAATGGCTGGTCCAGCACCTTTCCTGATAACACTACATGGATTTTACAGATAAAGAAGCACCAGGTAAATAAAAAATTTAAATCCTGAACAATCTCATCTTTCCATCCTTGATGAAGCTCTCAGTGCTGTCACCAGGCTTTGTTATTAAAGTAGTGCTACTGTCTGTCTGAATACAACCTCGTGGGATCACAAGATTTATCTAGTCTCTGTATTCCAATGACAGTAGAGAAGAAGGAGACATCAGAGAAATCAGAACATGCCTACTACACAAAATTAGGTTATTTTCCAATAACTTTCTAAAATCTTAACGTTATCCTTATGACAACAAAAGAGAGCTTTTTCTCTGAATGAGAGACTCATTATATATTAAACATTATTAGATGGAAACATCACAGTTAAGTTTGCCTACTCGCAGCTCTTAAGACATGTTGAGTACTGACAGACACTGCCTGACTGGATATGGGACAACTGTTAGTCAAACTGTGTATTTATTTAGACAGAAGGCAAAGCAAATAATGACTCACATTACTCAAACAAGTTTGTCAACAAGATCTCATGGTTTTCAGTGTGGGCTTAAATAGTTATTTGTCCTTCTGACAGAATTCTGAAAATAGACCACAGCTGCTGAAGGTAAACAATAAGTGGACTTCAGCTTTTCTATGATTTCAGAAGTCAGAATACAAGCAAAAACATTTTTTTAAACAAGCTTCAGTTTGAAAATAGTCAGTGGGGTCAGCAGATAGCCTCGTGGTTATGTCATGCGCTCCATGTATAGAGGTATAGTCCTCGCAGTGATCTGATTTCATAAACTCAATGCAAGGATGCTAATTTGTTCCTGAGATAGATATATATATGTATATATATATATATATTTAGTCAGTTTGTGCCACCAGGAAGAAATTGCATCCCTGCATTGAGTTTATGAAATCAGATCACTATTAGACCACACCCTTACATTGCATACATTTTACAGTCAATAGTGATGCTACTGTAAAGGAGCATCCAACCAGCTCTTATCTTGGCAACACTCTTTCAATCCTTAAACATTACATTTTTACTGTAAGGCTGGATAATCAACCCAGATGTTTGAGAGGAGAAGCAGATGCAGTGCTCATAAAAAAAAAAGTCAGAGGAAACAGTGTCAGTGTGGGCAGTTAGATTTGAGTCATGTGAGGAATGCATGCAACAACACTCTTCTTAATAGAGCGCTTTTTCTTTGAGTGTGGCACCTCATGTGAAGTCAATTTAACAATTATCCATTGGGGTCATATGCGTACACAGCACAACATCCACTTTCTTTGTAGAGAAGAAAGACACAGAGTAGCTTAATATGATTTTCAGGTTCAGGGTCTTCATCTTGATCACATGTCAATATATCTGGATACAATATTCTGGGTGTGACAGGCCCGATGTGAAAAAGCATCCAGGTAGGGGCACACAAACTACAAGTTAAGCCTTTCATTTTTCCCAAAGTCTAAAGCAAATTATCTATGAATAATTCTGATTTGTACACTGGGATGCTTCTAATATTGTCATAGTGATTACAACTTAGGCAGACCAATGCAGTAAGCACTGATTGAATCAACTCACCGCCTGCATACATAGCAGCTAGCATGATAGAGGAAATCAATGCTATTTCACTGAAGCTAGCTCCCAAGTCTTCTTGGATCTCCTTGAAGAAAATGGAGAGGGCTTTGGGCGTGGCGTAAGCAAATCCAATGGAAATGTGCGCCCCAATCACCACCATCCAACCCCAACCGCCATCCAGGGGTTTGCGCGCCGACTGATCTGCTGGAGCAGGGGACATGTTCCTGTGTAAACAAAACATACATGACATCATGTTACTCAAACACAAAGCAGATGTTTTCACATGAAAGACTGGGAGCATCCATAGCCTGCCATTGGTATGGATTCTACAGCCAATACCAATATGAACAGTAGATGAAGGTGTTTTGTTTACATATATGTAAACACAAACATATATATTTTGAGGCTTTTGGAAGAGGCAATAACATGACTAACAGTAAAAGGTCTTTGGTAAATGGATATGACCTGTAATAGTTGTAAACCACTCTAATGGATTTCAAATTTGGGAAGATCATTTCAGTGTCTTACAAAATGTAATGGCCAATAAAAGAAGATAAATATTCTATTGTTGTATTCGTCAAATGGGCTGGTCGGGCACACACACACACACACACACACACACACACACACACACACACACACACACACACACACACACACACACACGCACGCACGCACACACGCACACACACGCACGACAATGCAGAAATAGAACTTCCGGTGGGACACGCTTTGCCTCTTCCTGTCCGTGTCCTCGTCGCAGCATCTTTCTAAAACTAGTTAACAAGCAAAAAAAAAAAAAAAAAAACAGTTACGCCAATTCGTCAAATCCAGGGTTAAAGTTTCACAATGAAAGGCTCTGTAGACTTCACTTCTGCATACGGACTCGTACAGGGAGGAAACTTCCCACGTGGACAACGCATGATGACATCAATGATATTCAGCGGGGTTAACCTTCAATACTCAAATCATTCAATAATGTGTCCTAGAAAGTTTGAGGAGCTCTTACCTTTCATTGAGCGCCTTCGCAGACTACTTGTCTCTACTAAGTTACGAAGTCGAAGTTTCAGCCTGCCGCTTTGTTTGACGTTTGGTCACGTGTCGCACTGATGGCTTGGGGGGGTTTCTTCTTCGCAGATTTCACTGGTTTCAGTGTCATCATCATCCGTACATGAGCTTTGTCTCTGCATGTCAGCCTGTAGGTCACACTGCTCTCTGACACAAACATACACGTGTGTGACTCATCATACATGTCTAGAAGTCTGTTTACAGCAGAGCTGGAGTTGATTTGTCCTCCTGACACATTGTTTGAACACGTGTCTGTTTCATAGACTGTACATATTAGTTTGTATACAAATGTTTCAATAAAGTTGGTTCACAAAAAAAAAAGAGATTGACTTATTCAAAACTAATGAAGGTCTAATTTTGACTTAAGTGATTTAGATTTGACAAACGACAGCACATGTAAACAATGTAAATAAATTAACACATTTCACCTTTGATAGTTTTTTTTATTATTTTCAAATTATGTGCAATGTGAAATTCACAGTTGAGCTTAACCACCACCATAACCCAAAAACAGACAAACGGGCGAAACAAAGTGAGGAGAATGCATGGAGAACACAATGGAATAGCACCAATAAGCAATGCATGTACAGTAGATGACCAGGATGAGCAATGTGTATTGCAGCCCAAGGCCACTTAATCTTGAACAAAGAGTAGCTGTATTTTTTTTTTTTAGCTTGTTGTATGACAAGACTGGTGTTTGAAATGTGACATAACAATGTAGTTACTCCATCTGTAATGCTTAGTTTCAGTGAGAAGTTGAAAGAAATACTACTGTACAACAGAGGGGAAAGAAACTCAAAATGTAGCACTCGTGCAGGTAATCTTTTTTTTTTTTCTCAACTGAGTAGGATTACTCTAACATAACTAAATAGGTAATAATTACACAAAGAAAAGGAAAAACAGCCACTGGAGAAAACAAAAAGAAAATCACATCTATTTTTTTTTCAAGTTATAAAAGAAACTGAAGAGAAGTTTAAAAAACTGTGCAAGTACAGCAAACCTATAGTACAGTATAATACACATAACAAAAACATTTAAATACAGTACTGTGTATCAGTAGAAATCCTGAGTTCTCCGTTCCTGGTTCTTAAATGGCCGTCTGTAGACATGTGGATGAAGATCAAACCTTTACTCGCCCATGATGAGGGCATTGTTCAAGCTCAAGATCAATTAAAAATCAACTCAGTCAACATTGGATCTTCTCTTGGAGAAGTTATATTATATCTTTTAAGTCCTCAAAGAATGTTGCTTATCCTGCAATCATTTCCAGGTAAATCTCTTTGATGATTGCCGTGTGGCCAGACAAACCTTTAGCAATAGAGGGGCATTTGCTGTTCAGATAAAATGCAAGGGGAAATGTGTAGTGCAAAGATGACACAGGAACCTGCATGAGGAAATTGACGGCACTGAAAATGTCACACTTTCACAGGGAACGCCACTCAGTGGTGGTAATAACTCTTCTGTACAAGATTGTCAAAAAAAAAAAAAAAGAGCAGCACCAACCATTTGTGTCCTCTGTTTGATGGCGTGTAAAACGGATTCATGGCTGTTGGATGAGTAAGCACATGACCCCAAACCACCCTTTAGTAAAGTCTGCTTGTTCGGTAGGGTGCCTTGTAAAGTTTGCAGTTGAGGACTGCTGAAGTGGAGAGTGATTCAGTGCAATGCTGAGTAAGACTTTCAGATTTTCTTCATCAGGAGGAACAGTTTTTGATTTTGATGCCCCTTTTCAAGCCACAGGCACAATGGCATCCCAAATGATCTGCACTAAATGACGCATCACTTCCAGCCTGCACCCATGCAGCAGACACACAATCATTATTGGATTTACTGTGATTTTCAATAGCAGAGACAAGCACACACAACAATTAATGCACTTTTACTAAGGTATCATAACGTAATATAGCCTAATCACAGTTCCATGACTTATTGCTACCACAAAATTATTTTCAATGTTCAGATCAACCTTTACAAGACCTCAAATGCTTATTTGGCATTAGAAAAGGAAGGCTCTTTTAAACTTTGCAAAAAAAAAAAAATTATAACCTAACAACCTTGACGCCCAATGCTGAACTGAGCTTTTCACAAAGTTGCTTCGTTGACACAATGGCCTGAAATGTCCCTTTTCTCCTTATCATATCTCTGAAGGTTCTGAGGTAAGCCTGTTAGTTGGTCTGAACTTTCCACTTAGTGTTGCAACAAATTTGACTCCGTCCTTATTTCTCCAATGTGGAGAGTGAGCACTCTTTAAACATTTCACTTAAGTTGTCTTCACATGTGACACAAAATGGATGCAAACTGAAATAGTGGGAGGTATGAGCCCCCATGCAGCTGGATTCTCAAACAAAACGTAAAAATAGCTTGCAAGCCACACATAGTGTATTGTTTGACACGCATGTGAAGGAAGAAAGAAATATCATACAGCTTCAAGCTTCAAAAACACTAGGGTAATGTAAATCACAAGCACACTTCAAATTAAAACTCGTCTATAAAATACCATGAAGAAGGACTGGGGAACATAATAGGGAGAAAAGAAAACAAACACACAAACCTCAGAGCCAGCAACCTACTTATGAGCTAAGGTACTCATCTTACCCGTATGAATATATAGTTTATATACTTATTTATATATAGATTTTTAGATATAGATTTTCACTTTATGCTGACACGTAGCATCCATATCTCCAGACCCCTCAATCGCATGCGGATCATTAGTAAAAATCACTACCTCTATATGTATCTAAAACAAAACAAAAAGAACAACATGGCTCAACAATAAGCAAAAAATAGGATAATTGCACTTATGATTCATTGTACGGTTTTGTTAAACAAGCATCAGTGTGGGTAGCTGGTGCCGTCTGGAAAAAAAATACTGCAATCTTTTAAAAGCACCCCCATTTTGATCATGTTAAACCAAAGTTTGAAAGACTTAAGACTTAACCAAAAAAATGGTCCTTGTGGTGCAAACCCCCGAAGGTTACACCAGGCACAAGGCAGGCAGGACCACACTTCTCCCTCTGCCTCAGAGATTGGGTTCAAGAAACCAGCCACCTCAAAGAACTTTCTGTAGACACTGTGGGTAAAGTTTGGCCACCACACATTCAAAATGGCGACCCAAATCCCAGAGGCGGTCTGGTGTCTCGTAGACTTTGGTCCATACGTCTGCCTCGTCGTCGTACTGATAAAGGGAGTTCTTGCGGCTGGTGCGAAACACATGCTCCTCCACCATGACCTGTGTGGCTCGTACGAACAGGTGCAGCTTGCCTTGAAGAAGCATGGCCTTGATATACGGGCTTGTGGCTTGGTCAAAGGGCAGATCCCTCTTGCGGCTCCATGTGTTCTTCTCGATGTCGTAGACCTCCACAGTAAAGGTGCGCTGGTGGTTCCTGCAGATTCCAGCAATGTTGTAGATGCAGTTCTTATGCAAGGCAGCAAGACCCTGACTCCGAGGGACACTCATTGGGGCGAGATGACTCCAGTAGTCTTTACGGGGATCAAAGCAAAAGAAGTATTCACCTGCAGAAAAGCAAAAATAAACGTAAGTTAGAGTAAACTACCTTTAAATACTCGTTTTTTCAATCATGAAGAGGAAAAAAATTCAGACCGCCTTTGATCAATGAGAAATAAAAACACAATCCCAGTCATGTTCAGTGCTCTGTAGAGATAACATATGCCCTGTACACATATGCTCAAAACTCTTGAAAACAAACAGCTTCACTCTAACCTTGCTCAGAAGTTTTCCTGCCTGCCAGTACATTTTCCACAGGAAGTTGGTGTAAGCTGATGCGAGAATTCAGCAGGTTACATTCAGTAAAATTCACTGCAAGCGGTTTGAAGGGGGTCATGACATTTTTTATCCTGTGACTGGGGCATGACCAGAGTCTGTATTGTACACTGTGTCATCCCTGGGTTTGTAATGAAACTCTTTTCATTATGTTTTCTGTTTGCTAGCATGTAATTCTCTCCTCTTTTGTTGAGACCATGAATATGTTAAACTACATGAGGCATTGATATAAAGGCAAATATTGTCATCATAATGTCGGTCTCTGTTGCCTCCTCAGCCACTTCTGTGTTGTTTTTTTCACTGCTCCTAAGAAACCTCACTCCCGCCTGACAGGGAAAGTATTCTGCTGTGAGGTACAAATGTGAAAAAGCAACTAAGGAAACTGAACATTTTGCACAAATTCTTTGATAGCATATATGAAAACAGCTACAGTGAAACTTGCTCAGCATAAACTCACCTTGGAGAACATATATGCGGTCCCTGTACTCCACAGAACTATGAAACTCCATGGCTACTGGCATAGGACTGACTGCTGTCCAACAGTTGTCCCTGGCATCATAGCACTCTACTGATTTCAATGCATTTCGCCCATCACCTTCATATACTCGGCCTCCCAGTGCATAAAGCTTCCCACAGCAGTGCACCAGCCTGCAGCCTATCCTTGCTCTCAGCAGAGGTGCACGTGGAAGCCATCGATTTCCTGCATGTTCATACTGCCAGAAGTCACTCTCTGCCCGGTGGTCTATGGACACCTCACTGTTGCTTGGTCTGTAACCTCCAGCAATGTAGATGTCGTTCTCTGAGGACACTAAGATACCGACCTCCCGGAGATCATTGGGTGGTTTGCAGAGCTTAAACACCCTTCCTGTGGCTGTGTCCAGGCAAGGCACAGTCTGCTTTTTCCCTGAGTGTTTGTGAGCGGCGTCGAAGCAGATAACCATCTCAGAAGCAGTCATACCCAGGCGTTGTGGGCAACCATTAGTGCCGGTGAGGCGGGCTTTGGCCTCAGCAGGGTCCTTAGACAAAGTAAGGGCACACGCAAAGGGGGCAGGTATCAAGCTGAGGAAGGCCTCATCCAGCAAGGGCAGACGGATGCATTGGGAAAAGACCTCAGCTAAGTGGACCTCACGGCCAGACAGGTCATGCTCCAGCCAGCGCACAATGCTCTCGTATACATGCTCTTCCTTCTCCACATTGAGGTCATCATTGTTTAAAATGCTAACAAGCTGCTCCTTGGTCATCTGCAGGAACTCTTGCTCCCATGACACACATACGAACTACAAAAACAAAAAAAACAAGTTGCAGTCGAATGTCAGACAAACTGCTCACAAAAAAGGCACAGTTACAAGACCAGAAATGGGGAATTAAATAACAGCAAGATCATTAA